TGAGTTCTTGTCATGTTTTATTACCATTTTCTAAACTATAGCGAATAAACTGTGATAATGTGAGAAATGTTGAAGGTGTCTGAATAAATTTTGGTTTGACTGTATCTATTTGATAAATAAAGTTAACCAACTAACATTATACATACCCTTTTGGTTTCTGAACCCAATATTTAAAAAATGTACAAATGCAATCCAAAAATAGAAGTATCGGTATCGGGCGAGTACTGGAAAAAGTGGTATCGGTGCATCCCTAATTATTACCATTTTTTATTATTGTGGGGCCCTTTAAAGAGACTTCCTGTCTCTGTGCGAGGTGAAGATGTTGAAATTATGAGTGAATAGTCAAAAAAAAACTCAGAAACGCCTGTGGCTTCAACACGGTGGCAAGAAAACAAAGACTCTGTCTCTGACATATACTGTAACTGAGATTTTACAAGTAAGACAGCTGAATGGGTGTGTAAATTAAATCCTGACTGAAATCATTTGGCTGTCAGGACGACTGTTTGTGTAACTCTGAGGCATAGATTAAAGACATAAACTTAAGGGACATAAAATGTGCAGGTACAGACGCTTGTGGGTGTTTCCTCATGGTCATGTGCATGTCTCCCTGTGTTTGCCTGCATGAAAGCCTCAATGTGTGTGAACAGCTGTGAAAACACCAGTGATTTACGGGCACCGTACAGAGGACAGTGAAGCATTTTAGTTTTTGAGTATTATTTAGTTCATTCTTTCACCCTCTAATCACATTTGGCCATGTTGTTCTGACACTGACTCAATATAAAGTTGTCACAAGGGCTATATTTTAGTAACTATTAGTAAGATTTTGAGTCAGAAGGCCAGGATTTTTTTTTCTGTTACTTTTTTTTTTATACCATTTTTATAATTGTATTAATGTTAAATTTTACTGAAATGAAGATAAAAAAAAATTTCTGAAATTGTTAGTAAATGGGAATTTCCATTGTGATAACATACCTCATGTAGTGTAATGACATGCACTGCTGTAGGGGTCAAGACTAACAAACTAAATAAATAAATTTATAATAATTTATTATATATTTGCACATAATCTGCGTCTGAACATGTAAATTACACAAACAAAAGTCATTCAAAACCACTTGTGAATCAGTTCTCAATAATTATCTCAGTACGGCCATTTCATGTCATGGCCTAATGGTTAAAGATTCGGACTTGTAACCCAAAGGTTGTGGTGAGACCCTTGAACAAGGCATCGAACCCCCAACTCTTGGATGGGTTAAATGCAGAGCACAAATTCCGAGTATGGGTCACCATACTTGGCTACACATCACGTCACTTTCAAACTTAATAAAAAAATACACATCACGTCACTTTCAAACTTAATAAATTGACAGTAATTTGATTAAGATTTGTCATCATGTAAACTGGGTTAACATAAATAACTTTGGGCAATAAAAAAACTGTCAAGTTTAAAGGCCAGGCCTATGATAAATATATTAACACAAGGGAAAAGAGCAGGTGTGAGAGAGAAACTGTCACTTCAGGTTAATTAAAGTAGAAACACACACACACACACACAACTCACCCTGAGGACATGAGGGACTCCCAGCATGACTGTTTGAGGAGAGCCTGAAAAACAACAGTGGAAAAAAGAAAGTCCCTCAGTAGTACAATAGTCCTACGAACGGAATGGAGGGACTGTGGTGGTAATGTGGACTGACTGAATGTTTTGTCTCATCATAAGCCAAAGCCCATCACCAGAGCCTGACAGTCTTCTCTGATGTAGTTCATGTTTATATCAAATGATGGTGCATAAAATTTAAAAGAGTTTTAATTTGCTTGTTTCATTTAACTGTTTAACGCATGACCAAAATGGCCTAATGCCCTGCGTCTACCATTTTAGACACAAGATGGCGCACTAAAAGCACAGAGGAGTTATTTCAAATCTTTGACAGGACTGCCTAAATGTATTCACTATAGAAAACAAATATGTGAGATATTAGATTAAAATCATAAGGTTGCCACATATCATTTTGCAGAAGCTCACAACGTTGCTATAATCTTTATTCACCGTTCTGTAAGTTAGATGAGACTATAAAGAGCAAAACATAAACAGCAAATTACCATGACAGTGCAAGTCTGACACTTTCTATGATAAGGCAGTCTGTACAAAATATGTCATTAATGCGGGGATGATAATAACCACTTTACTAGTCAACACTTCATGAAGGCAGACATGAGTCAAAACATATAAAAGACTGACACTAACAACCTGCTGTCAACAATGAGCTGTGAGGCATGTTTATTTCAGCACACTGTGAGTTTTTGTGTGTGAAGAAAACAAGCCATTATACTAAACCAAGCTCAAAAGTGTCTGATAAACTGGAAAAAAAAAAAGTCTAAGAACAGTGTATGCAATAAAATCTCAAATATTATTAGAGCGTGTTTATAGTTGGATGTATGTGGTCACTAGGTCTTCCTTCAAATACCACATTTATGTGTCACTGTCTAGAAACTGTGTTACCAAAAACTTTGTATAGTAAATGTAAAAAATAGATAGTGTACCAAACAGTTTTACTCAAGTGGTTTTACTTTTACAGCCTTTGCCAGCACCCGTATTGTAGACCTACAGTATACCAGTGTACCAGTAGATAGTGCTAGTGTATCATAGTCAATCTGCAAATAGTCAGACGTTATACAAAAAGTGCTTTAAAATAAAATATTAGAAAATAGAATATAAAATATTACAGGTATTTACTTCTAATCAATTTATTAATTATATTTTTAGAAACCTTTCATGAGACACTATAGCATTGTTTATGTGTTTTTATTTAAGTGTTTATGCGGAAAAAGATTTACAGACAGACAGATCAATGGATGGACAGACAGACAGACAGATCGATGGATGGACAGATAGGCCGATTAATGGACAGACAGACAGACAGACAGACAGATAGATAGATAGATAGATAGATAGATAGATAGATAGATAGATGATAAAGCGATCACTGCTAAGATCTAATTAAACAACTGATGCAGTCCATGAAAATATTTCAATAATTCACTGTTCTCTTTTTTCCTCTAGTTTCATCAATACAAAATTGTTATAGTGTAAAATAAATGCATGAGTATAGATAGATAGATAGATAGACAGACAGACAGACAGACAGACAGACAGATAGATAGATAGATAGATAGATAGATAGATTATGGTCTTCGTTACATTTTAACACATCTGTATAATATTGATCAAAATCTCTAGACTATATTTTTGCTTATAATGAGCGTTTCTCCACAGCGCCCCCCTCAGGTGGACTGCTAGCGGTCTCATTACCGAGAGCCCCGCTCCATCTACATTGTTACAATCCTCCCATTTCCTGCAACACAACACTTCCATCTCTCGCGTGAAGGGTATGCTGTTTTATCACTTCACACTGGATCGTACCTGCTGCCTGAACATTGACAACGATGGAAATATAAAGGTAAGCTACTTTTATTCGCTTTTATCAAAGTAATAATCATGTTACCGGTGAGAGCATGCTATACTCTGTTAGACCGTGTGAGTAATGAAGGAATAGCTACGCCAGGTTTCTCTAACGATATGAAAGATACATGGGAGGGCGTAGGTTTAATGAAACATTGGCACTTTACGTGAGGTGTTAACAGCCAACTTCCCAGTGTGATTCGGTAATCTTGCCGTGGTGAGTGAACACAGGGGTTACGTATGATCAAGAGCAGACACACACACACACAAGTCGAGCAGCGCTGTTCACTTGGCAACGCCGAGCGCCGTAGACGCCTTAACAAAACCAGTGCTACCTTCTCCCGTGTGGGCTTGACTAGTTTCTACCCGCCCGGTTAAAGCAGTCTGAGCGTACACAAACACTAGCTGACATGCGGTGAGTGTGGTCAGGGTCTCAGAGGAGGTTTTTATATGAGTCGTGAAGACAGCGTTTTTACGCACGACACGCGCCTCTCTCTCTCTCCGCAGAGCGAGTATGAGAGGGGTTCGCCGCAAACTGTCATTAGGTTGACAGAGATGGGCTGCTGATTTGGGAATCCCGGAGAGCTGGAAGCGCCCAGGAGCACCATGACCGTGTTCAACCAGGAGAATGTGGAGGATTACTACGAGATTGGAGACGAGCTCGGGAGGTAGGTGATGGGTTTCACACCAGATTTTGGGCGTGAGATGAAATCTTTATTTTATTTTAGTTATTTTATTTAGTTATTTTGGATGAATTATATACATAGGGGCTATTTCAGGTTAATTGGGGCATTTTTTCTGAATGGCAGAAGTCTCCCAATTAACCTGAGTTTTCTCTATACATTTCTTATACAGCTATTTTATTGTGATTAACTTATATATATATACAAAAAAAAATTTCAGAAAGGTTTATTTTTTTGCAGTGATGCCATAGAGGAACCATTTTGGGACCCACAAAGAACCTTTCAGTCACAGTTCTTAAAAGAACATTTTAATAAACTTGACTTTTTACCACAATAAAGAATTGTTTATGTTATATTCCATTTTTGAAGAGTGAAGCATTGAATACACCATCTAATGTTATTCAATCAGCATGCATAAGTCAGCTTTAAGATATAAGGTGGTGCATATGTCTCTCAGGGTGAGCTGTACTATTAAAAAAGTACCTAAAAGAACCATGGTATTACCCCAGGTTATCACAGCATGGTAATACTATGGTATTCTTTGAAGTAGCTTAAGCTGCCATTCAGGTACCATCTATGGTATATATCTTAAATGTCATTCTTGTACCTTGGTACCTCCACAGTACTGGTCACCCTGTAAGAAAGGGTGGAGTTGTTGCTTGTGTGGTCTCAAATCATTATTGGGTGTCCCAAACTCTCCTGGAGCCTGAAATATCACTGGTTGTCACTCTAGGCAGATGTTCTTGCATTCCTAGTTGTAATGATCTTTAATGGCATTTATTGATTAATGGGGTTCAGATGGCTGTGAAGGTCCACTGTGTAGATTTCTCTTCTGGGAATCCTACTTGACAGGCTGATCATGATAAATTGGGTTAGTCTGCTATGCTGAGATGCCGCGACAATTACATTTTTACTCTATAATTTGGCTGTTAAAGACATCCAGTCAGCAATTGATTTCATTTTACAGGGTATTACAACTCAGTTTGAATTAACGTGCGGTCACACTATACTTTTTGTTTCATTTACTTCCAAAAAAAGTGTGTGACATCATATCACGGCCGCTGCAGTGTCCAGCTGTCTGCAGAAATGTCACATGCTCAAAATCTAGTGTGACCGCCCCTTTAGGCTTTGCATTAGAGTTTGTGGTGGTCCTTTTACTCTGGAAATATAAGCGGAGTAATATTATGTGTAACATTTCATCACTGGTGGTCAAGAGATGTTCTTTTGAACTGGGTTTCATGAGAATGCAGCTTCTTGGATTCCCATTGACTGCTGTGTGTGTGGGCAATAAATCACCACGCAGATAGGAATGAGTCTGCTTTTTGTGTGGGTTGTGGGAAATCGTCTCTTTTGTATTTAAGAAAAATATTTTATGTGTTAGTGCTCACGTAACAGTCTATAGGATGCCCACGATCAGTAAAATTGATTGCATAATGCATAAACGTACTGAGGAGACTTCGAATTGAATGTTGAAGATGTACTTGTCATTGGCTCCTGAGGGATGACAGCATCTTTCGGTTGTTCTGATTACATAATTGACTCGGTGACTGCAAAGCTGACTAGCTTACTCCAGTTATTGCTGAAGTAAACTGCTTTTGTAATAGAGAAGGTAGGAAGCAGTGTTATTTTTTTCACTTAGGGATTCTCAAAATAATTGCATTTGTAAAATCCTGTTAATTTGCATATTCATGAATATTGATTTCATGTTTAAGTCTGGACAGGTTTTAATTGACAGTTACTTGTTTTAACTATTTAACTATGCATGATCTGTCCTTTTATTTATTGGTAATCTTTGTAATTTGAATGTTTAATTGAACTTCAAATAATTGTGATGAGTATTTTGTGTTTATGCTGTCATTGAATTTTTCATTCACGTGTGAAATGGCATTTTACATATTCAAAATTATTTGAATAGTATTGAAGACAAAACATTTGAATATTATGGTCTCACCATGAAAACTATATGACTATCATGAGTTGCCAATCCCACTATTGACATTAAGCAATGAATGGATTGAAGCTTGTTGAAGGAATCTATGACCCTGCGTACAAAAAAAAAAGAGTCTGAAATAAAACAAGTGGACCACCAATCAGTGAAGCCCACCGGCACATTTTAAGTTTCCTGTTCTGCATAACAAAAATACCCCCTTCCCTCCCCCACTAAACAAAACCTCCAAATCAGGAACCAAGAACACCATTCACTGTTCTCAATTCAGCCATTAATTCCTTTACCCTCCTCACCAATATTCAGTGCTTAGCTTTAATGCCTCATCAAAATGGTTAAGCATACCCCTCAGCACTGAAGCATTAAATAACCCAGCATCAGACGGTGCTTACGTGCAACTCTGGCTGTAAGGTTAAACACACAGGCTCTCTTCATGGGGCGCATGAGGCTCCAGCCCATGGACGCTCTTAAATTAGGAGGTTTCTTTATTCTGATGGGAACTGCTATGGGTGGTCCTCCTCAGAGTAGGAGGAGCAGTGGTCTGTTGGCTAAATTTGAAGCAGGGGGACTTGGCTGGCATTGCTTTTCATGGATTAACACTATGAGCTGCCGTAACCCGAAGGTGAAGTGTGTCGTTTTTACTCCAGTAGTGCCACTGAACAAAAATTTCAGATGTGTTTCCCAAATTCCCCCACACCGTGGTTATTATTGTTAACTAAAACTACAAAAAAATTATATTAAAACTAGAAATGTTTCCTTCACAGCTAACTGAAATATGTTTAAGTTGAAGCACTGATTCATATACTATAATATAAAAAATACTAAAATAACACTGCCCCACATTTTTCATTGGTTCAAGAAACAGACCCCACCCCAAACGCTTAAAGGCACAATATGTAATTTTTCGCCGCTAGTGGGCGCGCATTCAAAATAAAGAAAGAGACAAAGGCATAGCAACCCTCTACATTGCGAGTAAATCACTCGCATATGCGACTAAATCTTAACCTGGGCGACTAAATAATGTCTAACATTAGCCATTGGCTAATAAATTCTTAGATTTTACACGCCAGTATGTGTGTGAGAGGCGTTCAACACAGATTTTCACTCGATAAACACGCTGACTGAGCGCTTGAGACTTTCGCTCTCCGTCAAGCGATCTGTACACTGACAACGTGATTAATATTCATGAACCCAGCAGATAGTAGTAGTATTAATATATTTTAATAATAATTACTATTACTTATGACCAACAATATCTTAAACACCACCACCAGTCCTGAGTTCAGTTAAAATGACAAATATGCGTTCATTCATGGTTACCAAGTTTTAGTTCTATTCACTAGTTCTATCATTAAATAGTGCTTAATTATCATAATATCATAATATAATACTTGATTGGCTGAAGTTAAGAGTGCACATTCAGTTATTTAAGAAGCTGTTCCATTTGACAAGCGTCTTTGGTGTTTCCATGTTTTCTAGAAAACAAAACCGGAAATCGAGGAGTTAGGAGGTCATTAGCAGGCGACACAATCACACTATGGAAACGGTCTGTGTCACTAGTTAAAATTGCTTATTCCTCTGGACTTAAACATTCTTCGAAACATTTGGGATAATGTAAGTACACAAGTCAGCAAAATATATAACAGTGTTCTAGTGGTTTTTGGATATTTTAATAAAAAAATCTTACATATTGTGCCTTTAAGTTCCTCTCTCACTTAAAACTAGATGCCAGGTGCTTTACAATATTTAAAGTACATTAAACATCACTTAACAACTTTTGAACAGGACAGGAGTCTGCTTGTCTCTCTGTTTCATGCGGTATGGATCATTTCTAATGATATCCGTGTTCTTCTATTACATTAAGTCTCTTAGACCGACTATAAGCTTGGCTGCTCCCGGTCAGTCCTGCCACTAATTGGTTCCCCTTTGTGTCTGTTTGCTCTGGCTGTGTGTGTGAAAGGGGAGGAGCAGCTTTTTGCTGGATCTCACTATCACTTCACGAGGCAGTGCTTCTGACTGTGTAGTTTTGAAGAGTGTGCTCCAGAGAACTTATTACCCAGACCCTGATGCTAATGAGACTCCTCCAAAAAAGCTGAAATCCCAGGCAGTTTTTAGGACCACTTTAACAATTTCCCCACCCCCCTGTAATGATATGCAGAGTATGCAAGTTGTTTGTTGTTGACCTATATTTGTGCCCCAGTGAAATGTGTCAGACGGTGCTGGTGCTGAGGTTTGACCAGTGTGGGATATCAACCTTTTTTTGGCCAACAGCCGTGGTGGTTAGTATATGCCAGATGTTACCTACCATTTTTTTTTTATATTGTTTTATATATCTACTTTGTTTAACATGTTTACCTTGTTTTTGCCATGAAAAGAGATTCAGATTTTGATGTGGCATACAGTCAAAATAATAAATATATATAATACTAACTTCCAATTTGGGAAAAATTAACAAATACCGGACCTATAAGATGTCTCAGATTGGTCTGTTATTATTATTGTTCATTATTATTATTATTATATAAAATAAATAAATAATATATAATACATAATACATAATAAAAATAAACGGTTGTTTTGTAGCAATGATGAATGACGCATGTTTGAGTAACACTTTGATTAGCATTACTAGTTTAATTTATTTATTTATTTA